TTGCTTGGCTAGCTCTGACCGACCTGATCGGTAGGTGAGCGGAGTTTGATTGACTGTCCTCAGGCCTTGATGGGCGGGGGCATTCTTCTCTGCTTTAGGCTCAGGCCGTGGGCAACCGAGTCAAGTAGGTCAACAATACGCTACCGAGTTATGCATTGTGGGCTCAAGCCGTTCAGAGGTCAGCCGAGTCAGGTTGGTCGGCAATATGCTGTCGAGCTATGCGTTGTGGGCTCAAGCCGTTCGGAGGTCGGCCGAGTCAGTAAGTTGGGTTTGGTCCTCGGCAGGAGAGCAAGTATCACTGCCGCATAGTTCTTTGGTCCCCACGTGCTACCCCTATGCCATATTCGGTGGGAAACTTCATGGCGAGGTGGAATGTGGAGACCGTAGCCTGTAGAGCATTAAGGATCGACCTACCGAGGAAGGCGTTGTATGAAGAGGGGCAACGAACCACAATGAAGTCCACCATGATCGTCGCAATGATGTCACCGTCTCCTATCAATAGGGGAAGGGTTATTCTCCCAAGGGGTAGGAGGGACTCACTAGAGAAGCCCATCAGGGGAGTGTTGACAGGGGTGAGACGCTCTTTGTTGATGTCAAGCTTCTCAAATGTGTCCTCAAAGAGTAAATCTGTGAATCTGCCTGTATTAACTAGAATATGCCGTATCTCGAAGTTGGAAACCTCGGCTGTGATTACCAAGGCATCATCATACGGGGTCTGAACCCCCCGGGGTCTTGCCTCTTATAGTCCCGGTTTGATCTTTTTGACTTCCGCTCCTCAATATCTCTCCTCTTCTTATCGGGCCTCTCTTCCTTGTTCCATAGTTGTGTTTGCACTTCTTCTGCGTTGATATACTTCTGTGCATGGCTCATCAATGTAGCCAGAGTTTGCGGAGGGTTCTTAGAGATGGAGAAGTTGAATGACAATGAGCGGAGGCCGTGTTGAATAGCGATGATTGGTTCAGGTTTCTGACCTACAGTGCCTCTTTGTTGAATCTCGCCAGGTAGTCTCTGAGAGATTCATTTTTCCTCTGTCGTACCTGCATGAGGTTGGTCAAGGTCTTCCAATGCTTTTGACTCGTTGTGAACTGTGCACGGAACTGAGTTTCCAACTGCTTCCACGACGCTATTGAGCATGGAGGTAGAGAGGAATACCAGGTTAGGGCTGGACCTGTGAGAGTGGCCACTAGGGCTTTGCACATCAGGCCCTTGGAAGATCTGTGCAACATTAATTAAGCCTTCAGTGCCTCGATGTGGTCGGTAGGATCAGTGTTTCCGTCGTACTTGTCAAGTTGAGGTGCCCTCCATCCCGTGGGAGGTACATCGTCCACAATCTCTTGGGTGAAAGGTGGTTCCTTGGCAGTGGGCGCGGCGAGTTGCGTGGGCTGATCCACAATCGACGTCGTGCTTATTTGGCCTTGGTTGTGCTCTAGCTCTTCTAAGCACTGTTGGAGTTCCCGAATCTCGTTATCCCTATGGTCTGAGACCACGGTGTGCGTTGCCCTTTCCTTCTTGGAGTGCGCGGTGCGGTCTTTCATGGAGTTGGACTTGGCAATGGAGACCACGTAGGGTGGCGTTTGTCTGCCGAGCCTTTCTTTGGCGGGGATCTATTGTGGTCTGGTGCGTCCTGTTGTGAGAGCGGGCGGAGGGGGCTGACCTTGTGGTGTCTTGCTTTTCTTGGTTGGATCGCGCTACACCCTTGTCCGCTCAGTGCGCTTTGGAGTCCTCGAGGCGATGATCATCCTTCGTACACATCGGGGCATAAGGGGGGACGGTCTTACTGGGCGGTGCCGCAGATCCTAGGTTCTACATCACTTCAAAGATCTTGTCGACCTTCTCTTGCATTGCTCAGAACTGCTCAGGATCAATCGTGGCTAGGGGCTGTGGAATTTCTTGATGCGGAGGGCTATGATGCTGAGACTCCCGAGACGGGGATCAGCCTGTTGATCATTCGGGCTGGTTCTTAGGCATCTTGATTGCTTTCTTAGTTGCGCGGTGAGGAATGAAGGATTTTCGGGAAAGGCTTTTTGTGCGTTTCCAACAGACGACGCCAATCTGATTCTACTAAATCCGAGGTGGTGCACGAATTGAGGAGAGCAACCAGATAGTCCTTGCTGGCAGGGTGGGGCTGAGCTACAAGGATGAGGCCACGCTACAAGACCTATGATCAAGAAGGGAGAAGTCAGAGGCCCGAGGAGTTATCCCCGGGTAGGTGCTCTGACGCTCAAGTTAATAGGAGGTGGTAGATGGTCGGGCCGAGCTATAAGGATGCTGGTCCTAGCTAAGTAGTAGTACCGATGTTAGAAGTTGGAATCCCTTACCTTGGGCATAAAGTACCTTTTTATAGCCGAAGATCTGTGTCGTAGTCGTATTGGGCTTCCAGTGTTATCAGGATGAGGTTAGCCGCCGAGGTATTCAGGATAGTCCCATTCCCTAGCGGAGTTGTCTTCCTTACTCCTCTTTATCCGTAGTTGTGCTCATCCGTTCGACGTATGGCTGACATGGCTAAAAGGATAGGATGGAGGGCCACAATAATAGCGTAGCTCGGCCGAGCTATGCCAATGTGGTCGAGCTATGCTGACATGGCCGAGCTAAGCCGACGTGGCCGGGCGATGACTAGGCGGCCACGTGTCTCTCAGGACCAACTCAACCATGACCCGAACAAATCCATTAACCTGGGTGATCAAACTGTCGACTCATTCAATAGTTTTGGCCATTTTTTGTTTTAATTATTTCTTTTTTTTTGTCAGAATGAATCGTCCATTCAAACCATCAACCCGAAAACCAGTGGCCACAGCGGTTCCTATTCCGAATCATTTTTTAAAAACATTGCTATGTTCTTTAAAAGAGGATTCCCCATCGTAAAATTAAATTATATAGCCTTCAATTTGAATCTTAATTAATGTCTATGTATGCATAAGTCAAATGAATGACTATTAATAATAAGAAATGGGATGCAACTGCATTAAGGTTTTTGGGCTTACATTAAGGCCATTATTAATCAAACCCGTGTTATAATTGGATTGGATTGGATCTAATCTTACCTGAATTTGTTCTCATTTATTGATACCTAAAAAATTTGAATGTAATCAGTAGATTGAGGTGTTTAGTCACAAAGAGCATTCACACCGCCATTAAAAAAAGTGATCCAACAAAATGCAATGACAAAACAGGATTCATATAGTAAAGAGAGAAAAATTGCTGACATAAATACTAACTTGCTGCTGTTTGCCTCCAAATTCTCTTTACACTTGTAACTACTCTAAGATGTGAATCCAAAGACTGTCCTTTACACCGTTAATTACCTACTATGTTGTCATATAAAATTTAAGATTACAAGAGCAAAAAGCTTTATGATCCTCAATAAGCTTACCATGTGCCCAAATACAGGTTGCCAGGGTTGTAGATTCTTGAGATGCTTAAACTTTATATTTTTTCTAGTTAATAATAAAGTTTCTTTTTAATTTTTAAAAGAATAAGGAACAAAAAGATAAAAAAGAAAACGTAGCTTTTTCTCTTTTCTTCCTCCCGTCAACATCATGAGCGAGGGGGAATTGTCTTTGGCACAAGAAATAAAAATTAGACCATCTTTTGCCAATTCATACCCAGTTCACCGCAACCATGACGGAGTAAGTTGGGAGTTGAATCTAATGTTCACACCAACCAAAGATACGTTGACAGGTGGCTATTCCAGTTCATTGCGAATTCTGTGCATAGGGTTTGCTAATTGGACATGGAAAATTTAATGTGGTAATAATTTTGCACCCGGTTCACGGGTTAATAAGTCTTGCATTCTTTTATTTGTAACTATGATTTTGTATTCTTACCAGATATAAAATTTATACTTTGTCTTGTTTATACTCAAAAATTTGCATCACTTTCTACCCGTTTGGGATGGCTTGTGCATTTGGGACGAGTTACATTACCTGAGCGATGATGGTTGAGCACCAGGAATTGTTTTATATTACAGTTGTGTTTCTTGTGTTGGAAAAACTTTTTTTTTTTTTGCTGCAAGGAAACACAAATATTAACTTTTGGATTTTTACCAAATACAACTATTATGAGTATGTGGGGCTCAGCTTAGAATGTCAGAAAGTGCACCCCACAGAGTGTATTACACAGGCATTTCATATATATATCTTAACGTGCATTGAGAACATCTCCCATAATTGATTTTCTCTTTGACCGCATCAATTTGATTCCTAAGCTCCTTCTCCCAAAAAAATAACCTTCTTCAAATCTTCATTGCCGTGCACATCATTTTACTTGCTATTTTTGCAAACAAACAAATCAAAGCCAAATTTGAAACATAAGGTGAACAAAATTTACTACACTTGTCCATTTGCAGTCCTGTTCATTCATACCAGTGCAAATGAAATTCGCACCACAAAGAAATTTTGGCATAGGTGAGGTATAAATACTATGGATGAGTACTGGAGTGGAGAGGAGTCAGAATTACATCATTTTCATGTGCCGGGTTTCCCTCTCTATTTGACCCGAATAATAAACCATCTCCCGTTAAGGGCAGTAATTCTGAGGCTCTCAATTCCCATATCCCATGTATGTAGTGTAGCAGCCCACAGAACAGTCAGACAAAGAAGAACCTGTGATGTGAAGCAAAGGCAGCTGGGAGGGGTCCCACCAATAAGCTGGAACTGGGAAGTGGTTGGTGAATGCGGTTAAAGCCATCCAATTAGTGTTACACATGGAGAGTCAATTTAGGGGAATAAAAGCAACGCCATTCATCCTCTTTTTTCGGTTCCCACCAAAACAAATACCCCATCGAGAGTCCAGTCCGACTCCGAGACAAACAAAACCACCTATATTCGATTGTTCGTATCGCCGAATTCTGACAAAGACCGAGATCCAATGCGTAACGCTTGTCTCGCACGTTCCACACCACACGGTCGGTTACGGGTTACCTTCCACACACGTGCGGTTTACGCTACTGTGATGACACACACGCGTGCCAACTCTGCAACCAAGTAGTAAGTGTCCTCCCTGTGGGCAAATGGCTATGAGTAAAAATGAAAATGAGTTTCTCAGATTCTCTTCCTCACAGCTCCTACCTGAAAAATGCCGGTAACCATGCAAAAGAGATGGTCTCCTCTTCTCTATCATCGAAACCGGCATCTTGAAGTTGAAGCAACCTCTCTGTTCCCGGTTTCTGGTTTTTCCCTGACACCGTTGTCTTCCTCCTCCTTTGCTGTTCTCGAGTAGGGCTTCGTGTTCTGCAACAGAGGAATCACTCCTTGTTTATAGATCTGGAGGAAATGGTTCTGGATTTGCACTAAAGCTGTCAAATTTGGTCACTGGTACTGGATTTTCCATGCGCCGGAGATGGAGTCGATACTCGCTCGAGCTTTAGAGTACACGCTCAAGTACTGGTTGAAATCTTTCTCCAGAGACCAGTTTAAATTGCATGGGCGAACCGTTCAGCTCTCCAATTTAGGTAGAAAATTTCAAGTGATTAAATTTCAGTATCTATTTTACATTTGATTTCGATTTGAAAAATAAGAAAAAGAAAGATCAATCGGTGATTCTTTTGTTTGATTTTTTTTTTTTGAAGAAAAGATCAATCGATGATTCTCTTATTTGATTTTTGAAATATTAGATATAAATGGAGATGCTCTACATGCTAGTGTTGGGTTGCCCCCGGCATTGAATGTTACGACTGCGAGAATTGGGAAGCTGGAGATAAAGGTTGGTCTAAGCTTGCAGTTTGTTTAATATCAGTTAGTTCATTTGATCTGTTTGTGATGTTTCTCTTGTTTCTAAACGAGCTTCTTTCGATGTGTTATTCAGCTTCCGTCGGTTAGCAATGTACAGACGGAGCCAATTTCTGTTCAAATTGATAGACTCGATCTGGTACTGGAGGAGAATTCGGATTCGAACATCGGAAGGAGCTCAACCAGGCATCGCCATTTCACTCTTACTTTGAATTTTGCTCATGATTATATCACCATTCAGCACATTAATTCAAGTACTTAGGAACTTCTCTTACTTCCCCTTGTGCTTTCCTGCAGTACCCAAACATCCAGCAACTCTGGGAAGGGCAGTGGTTATGGATTTGCGGATAAGGTGGGACTATCTCTGCTTGGGACTTTCCACTTAAGTGTTAGTTTTGAACTTCTGAATATATAGTTATATACCTCCAGTGAAGGAATACCTTCTAGTCACCTGTTTTGGTATAGACAAAATTGGATTATTTCTGGGTAAAATATCAAATAAACTAACATAATAATTACACAATACATCCTCAAATGTATCCCATGTCACAAGGGAACGGTTATGAACTTATCCAATGGTAATTAATCTCATTTGTTCATGAGAATTTGCTTGACTACTCAATAATAATAGTAGGGAATTTTCTTGGTGACATGTGTAAGATTTTCCATTCCTGAATTGCTAATTTCCTTCAGAATGCACTGGATTGTTCACATGGGAGGCATTTACAATGTCAACCAGTAATGGTTAGTGTGAGCAATTACCGGAAGTTGCCTTGGCAAATTCCTATAATATCTACCAATACAGAAATTCCTACTGTAGCTGCAGAATCCTACATCAGATAGACAGTCAGCAAATTTGATGATACTCGTATATTTTCCAAGACTACATTAGCACATTTGTATTGCATTGGATTCAGACAATTTTAAGATATCCATTGGAATTGGTACTCTTGGTTTTATCTAATGGGAGATGCAGTAGAATTGTTGAGAAGACCAGATAATTATTTTCAATTTGCTTTCCCATTCACAAAATTTCTGTAATCTTCTCATTCTTCAGAAAAAGGGTAAAAAAGAAGGCAGATTGATATATTTTCAATCAGGAGAGTAGTTATTTTTTCATGAGTGTTAGCAAGAAACACATTCATCATTATTATAGTTATCTGTCTTACTGCAACTAAGGTCCGATATCCTTCATTTTGCTCTAAGGCTCTATATTCCATTAAAAAATGAGGTACAAACCTTTCCTGACTTCCCAAGGTAGGTGCTTTTGCTCCACTGTTCTTTTGAAACTTTCGACCAGCCCCATGTTACTTCTCACTATTAGCATCAAATATCTTCATTGTTCTAATCTTGTTTCTGCAGAAGGTTAAGCTGTTATCTTTCTCCATCTTATTACATTTTATTTCTGAATGACAACCGTTGACTTTCCATATGTATAGATTGCAGATGGAATGACCTTAGAAGTGGGTACTGTTAACCTTTTGCTTGAAACTCGTGGCGGTGTTCGTTCCCAAGGAAGAGCAACATGGTAATATCTTGTTACTACCTACCAATGAAATTGGGATTCAATATGCTGTTATTTATTGATTGTTTCTTTTCCATCATGTGGATTTATGGTTGCAATTGCACGACTTGTAAACACCGACCATATGGGTTTCCATCATTGATCATGCACTGAATTCATTTTATAAACTTCTTCATATGGCATTGAATTTCTTTTCATCAATAAATGGCATTGTCAATTGAATTGAGCATGTAATAAATTGTTTGATTTTTGCTAACTGTAATTTGTTTCAATGAAATTGTGGAAGTTAATGGAATTAGCCTCATGTTTTTTTGGAAAATTAATAAATTAATAATTTTGGATTCTGTTTTTGGTAATACACATCATATATGGAATATTTTGTTAGACAGAATAATTTTTGGTTATATTTTTAGTGGAATATGTTGCACTTTGAAGGGGACGTTGCTTGGTGTAATGGTAAAATCTTGAGCTTTCAAGTGTTAGAATGTGGGTTTGAGTCTGAAAGCAGTCACTTTGTGCCAAAATAATGCCCATAAAGTTTTCATTTGTCAAAGAATTAATTGATATGAACTTTGGTATGCATATAGAAATTTACAGGGTGTGATGGAGGCCCCCAACCACAGAATAGGCCTTTTCTTGATTATAATCATGTGAAATCTTTTTTTGTTCTTCCTTTGTGACCAGGGCATCACCTCTAGCATCTATCACAATACGGAACCTTTTGCTGTATACAACAAATGAGAATTGGCAGGTATTTACTTGGATGTGTTTGCTAGTAGGATACTTTTCTTTTCAATGCATTTACAAGAATCACAATTTATTTGAATTTCCCCCTGTTAACAGGTTGTGAATCTTAAAGAAGCAAGGGACTTTTCCAATAATAAGAAATATATATATGTGTTTAAAGTAAGTTTGCAGACTTCCTTTTGATGTGATTCTTTGTGTCACTACTCACTACCAATTTAAGCTTTCATAAAGCTATTTCCTTTTATCTATCTATATGCTGCTATGTGCACTAGTGAGTTTTTCCCCTTTCCTTTTTCATGAATAAAAGTCATATTGTTCTTATATATGGTAACATCTGATAAAGCTATTATTTTTTGTGCCACCAGAAACTTGAATGGGAATCGTTATCTGTTGACCTCTTACCTCATCCTGATATGTTTGCTGATGCTCATATAACATGTTCTAATAATGGAGCAAATAAGCGTGATGATGATGGTGCAAAGCGGGTTTTCTTTGGTGGTGAACGTTTTCTTGAAGGAATATCTGGACAGGCTTATGTAATGCAAATTTGATGATTAAATTTCATTTTGGGCATCATCATCTTGTGCAATTACTAAATAACATGGCCTGAAGTTTTATGGATATACCATTGCTGATTCTTTCTTAATTGTTTAATTATGATCAGATAACAATTCAAAGGACAGAGTTAAATAATCCATTAGGGCTTGAGGTTCAATTTCATATTACAGAAGCTGTTTGTCCTGCCTTAAGTGAACCAGGTAAGCAAAAGTAATCTATTTTTTCATTGCAACTGTTGTGTATTTGTAAGTGATATCAACAACAAAACAGGGGAATAAAAATGCCATGGTTTGAGCAGGTTTACGTGCTCTTCTGCGCTTTTTGACGGGTTTGTATGTATGCCTGAATAGAGATGTGGACCCATACGCTCAAGAGGTGTCTGTTCTTGTTGTTGCTATTTTAAGATTTTTTAGAAAGAATGTATTCTGTTTTGCCAGAAAGCACAATGAGCTAGGTTCCTTTTTAACAGGGTATATTCATTGCTTGCAGCGGTGTACAGAGGCAGCAGGACGATCCCTTGTTTCTATTATTGTAGACCATATATTTCTATGCATAAAAGATGCTGGTCAGTTATCTTTTCTAGAAATTGTTGTGACCAGTCTCTGATATTTTTCCTGAAGGTTATAGTTCTCTAAAAGGACAATTTTTAGGTTGTTTTATCTTATTGACTGAGTCATTTTCATGTTTCTTTGTTCTAGTAGCAAGCTGGGTTTTAGATGTACAGATATTTATTAGAAATAGTCAAATGGAAAATGAAATTATGTTCTTTAATATTTTGTACTCCTTTATACCTCCAGCTTGTTTATTCTGCAATGGTGCAGTTAAATTTTTGAGCCAAATTAATTATACCGTCTTTCATCACAAAAAGAAGTAAAACCTTAATTTCCTAATTTCTTTAAATCCTTATGTAAATGCAATTGCAAAGAAAAAAAAGCTAATGAAATTGAATTACTTTGCAGAGTTTCAGCTCGAGCTTCTGATGCAATCACTCTTCTTTTCCCGGGTAGGATCCATGGTCCATCAAACTTTCCCAATTGTTGAACTAAAGACACAGAATGTAGACAATCTCATACATAAACACACACCATAAGATGTTTCTGTTGAGCAAAATACAAAAAAAAAAAAAATCTGTGACATGGACTGGGCCAATGTACTAACAGATCATTTTAGTGCGTCTTTTGTTGCAAAAGAAAAATGTTTATGATCTATATCCTGAGTGATACAGAGATTGGATACACTTCATGGGCTTTTCTGGTTTATGTTTTTTAGACTTCCATGTTCAGTCAGTCTTTATGATTTTTGCTTTGTTATTCTGCACTTTCTTTGAATCCATTGGTATTTCTCATTATTTTCTTATGTGTTTTGACCTATCATGCTTGGTCATTGTTGTTAGGCGAGTGTATCAGATGGAAAAAATACAAAAAACTTGTCTCGGGTAATGGTTGGTGGACTGTTTCTAAGGTACATATGTTTCTTTTTTGTATATCCATGGTTTTAGCCTGAAAACATCTAGTTCCATTTCAGTTGAATTTTCTAGGAATGAAATTCTAGTGCATATTCTTCCTGGCCGTTTTTCTTGAAATGCTTTTTCTGCTACTCCCTGGTATTATCAGTAATTAGTTAGGCATTAGTTATTGGCTCTAAAGTGGACAGAGCTCTGTGCAAATTGGGTTTGGTGTTCTGGATGGCTCAGTAGGATATATTATCCTTGTTCTGAATATTGAGAAACTAATTTACTAGCTTGAAGTAATGGGACAAAACTAATTTACTGTTTTATGTTAGAAAGAGTTTCATTTGTGAGATGATGTTTGGAATGCAGGGACACCTTCTCACATCCTCCATGTACCTTAGTGCAGCCATCAATGCAGGCTGTTACAAAAGATCTTCTGCATGTTCCAGAATTTGGTATGTCTTGAATGAGTTATTTAGTTTTCTATAATGCCTATGATTCATTATCCATGCCATCAATGCTGATATTGTGTAGGTTCACATACATCATAGTTGATTACTTGATTTGTTACCCTGATTTGTTGGAGCAGGATTGAATTTTTGTCCTCCAATCTATCCTCTCGGAGAACAACAGTGGCAATTAAATGAAAGTATTCCCCTGATTTGCCTCCATTCTCTTCAGATCAAACCCTCACCAGCTCCTCCATCTTTTGCTTCACAAACAGTCATTGACTGCAAGCCACTTATGGTATATAGAACTACAATTTCAACCTGTAGTTTCAACTGGCACATTACCATCTCTTTTATTTCCTTATTTTTTTTTCTTTTTTAATTTTGTTTTCTTCAGATTAATCTTCAGGAGGAATCATGTTTGAGGATTTCTTCCTTCTTAGCCGATGGTATTGTGGTCAATCCTGGTGCTATTTTACCAGATTTCTCTGTTAATTCACTTGTATTCACTCTCAAAGAATTAGATATCACTATTCCTCTGGATGCTGGGAAGTCAGATAGTTGCATTGTCAATGGTGGCAATACTTTTCAGAATGCATTTGCTGGAGCAAGGCTTCATATTGAGAACATGTTCTTCTCAGAATCACCATCGTTGAAACTAAGCCTACTGAACTTGGAAAAGGATCCTGCTTGCTTCTGTCTCTGGGATGATCAACCAATTGATGCCAGCCAGAAGAAGTGGACGACTCGAGCTTCACATCTCAGTCTATCTCTTGAAACTTGCAGTGGCTTAACAGAAAATCGAAGTTTTATTGACTGGTCTGATGGTTTGTGGAGATGTGTTGAACTACATGATGCCTGTATTGAGGCAGCTATGGTCACAGCTGATGGGAGCCCACTTGTTACTGTTCCCCCCCCTGGAGGTGTCGTCAGAATTGGAGTAGCTTGTCAACAATACATATCCAACACTTCAGTTGAACAGCTGTTCTTTGTTTTGGATCTATATGCCTACTTTGGTAGAGTCAGTGAAAAGATAGCAAACGTTGGAAAAATTAATAGACAGAAGAGTAGTAGAAAGGAATCCATTGGAGGAAGGTTAATTGAAAAGGTTCCTGGTGATACAGCTGTGAGTTTAGAAGTGAAGGACCTCCAGCTTAGATTTCTAGAACCTTCTTCTTTGGATATTCAAGGGATGCCCTTGGTCCAATTTGTTGGAGAAGATCTGTTTATTAAAGTTACACATCGGACCCTAGGTGGTGCAATTGCAGTGTCATCGAATATTCGTTGGGAAAGTGTTCGGGTGGACTGTGTAGACGCAGAGGGAAACCTGGCACGAGAAAATGGTGCAATGGTGACTCCTCTCGGACATGAACTTCTGGTTGCTGGAAATGGGTATCCACAGATGAGAGCTGTCTTTTGGATTGAGAACAGTAGAAAGCATCAGCCAAATGGCATTTCTCCAACACTTCCATTTTTAGAGATAAGCATGGTGCATGTGATTCCATATAATGCACAAGACTCAGAGTGTCACACTTTAACTGTACTTGCAAAGGTCTCTGGTGTTCGCCTTGGTGGTGGAATGACTTATGCTGAAGCTCTGTTGCATCGTTTTGGTATATTTGGACCAGATGGTGGTCCTAGTGAGGGGCTTTCGAAAGGGTTGAAGAATTTATCTGCTGGACCATTGTCAAAGCTGCTTAGAGCATCATCACTTATTGGGGATGTTAAGGAAGAGAGTATGGATCAATGTACTTCTGATATTATTCTTAAGGCTCAGTTTGGAAGGAGTACCAATACAAATATGTTCAATGCAAATACATACAAAATAATACAAAAACATAGAGTGCAAAACCATGCATTTTGTACTCCTTCCAAGAGTACAAATACAAATATGTAGAGTGCAAAACCTTGTATTTTGTATTATTTTGTATGTATTTGCACTTTACATATTTGTATTTGTACTTCCAAACTGAGCCTAACGAAATCATCAAATATGTCTGTTTCACTGTATTGCACAAGTAGTTTTATGCACTTTCCATTATTTGTATTACCTTTCCAATTTTTTTATTACATTTTTGTGTCACACAGACAAATTTTCCCATATACTACTTTTTATTTATTCATTTTGTTATTTGATTGCAGTATGATGTTACAGAAGTTCCATTTCTTAACTGTTCTTCATGATTGCAGGTGGAAGTTCTGAAGTTGGGGAAAATGGTATTCTCCTGGAATTGGGAATGCCAGATGATGTGGATGTATCAATGGAATTGAAAGACTGGCTATTTGTTCTTGAGGGAGCCCAGGAGATGGCAGAAAGCTGGTGGCTTTACAATGACAATGATGCTGGAAGGGAAGAGAGGTGTTGGCACACCACTTTCCAGAGTCTGCAAGTGAAGGCAAAAAGTAATCCAAAACATGTTGGTAATGGCACAGGAAAATTAAATAGGAAGCAGAAATATCCCATAGAATTTATCACAGTAAGCATTTTATTCAGTTTGAATTTTCAGCCTTGATTATTTATAAATCAGTTATTCTTTTAATAAGGGACCATTGCATGGTGTGATTTTAGAATACTGGGCTGACTAGTGTGAGGATGGTTCAAGTCTGAGTGCTGTAGGTTTGCACAGAAATCCTAAGGTTTGGTTTATATCCAGTCTGCCCTGCCCAAGATCCCAGATAACGGGGATCATCATTGGGTAATGGCCTTTTTTACATTCATTTCATAGTTTTTGGTCTCAAGTGTTAATGAACACTGGTATGCAGTATAACTGTATAACATGTCTGGTTATACCATGCTTCAATTTTTCTTTTTGCAGAAAGTAATTTTTTGAATTATGCACCTAGTTTGGGTCCCTGATTCTTTAATACTTATAGTAGCTTTCAGTAAATCCTAGTAATCTCTCCTGATGATCTGTTTTGTAACTTGCTTCATCTTATATTTATTATCTTAATTGTGGGACTTCCAGGTTGGTGTGGAGGGCTTGCAAGCATTGAAACCCCACGCCAGTTTTTCATCAAGAGGAGCCAAAGGAACAGGGGGGTACTCAGGGGGGGTTAATCTTGAAGTAAGAATTGTGGTTTCTGAGGATGTTGAGGAAAGCGAAATGGCCAAGTGGGTTGTGGAAAATTTGAAATTCTCTGTTAAACAACCGGTAATGCTATCCAAATTTTGAAGTATTCTATTCTTGCTCATTTGTTTCTTAATAAATATACAATAATTGATCTTTTTCAACTCTGGGGGGGAGTGATGCTTTGCAGATTGAGGCTGTTGCAACCAAAGAGGAACTGCAACATCTTGCTCTTCTGTGCAAGTCTGAAGTTGATTCTATGGGTCGAATAGCTGCTGGAATTCTTCGCTTACTCAAGCTTGAAGCATCTATTGGTCAGGCAGCAATAGATCAACTAAGCAACCTTGGTATTTGATACAATCTTTTATATACCTTTTCCATTGTTGCATTAGTTTTATTTAGTAGAAAAATCCCAGTGCTTTTAGGGAATATATCTGAGATGCAGTTGGAATATAAGCCCAAAGAATCTAGAGTAAGCAATACGTGATCTTCATTTTCTATGTCTTTTAGGGAATATATCTGGAATCCAGACTTACTAGCTAACAACAATCCCCCCCTAAAAAAAAAAAAAAAAATCCAGATTGATTAGATGGTTGGCAACATTTTCTGGGATCAGTATCTTGAGGATGGACTTCCATTGCAGCATTTTCTCTTTAAGTTTTATTCTGTTCTTCAGTTTACTTGGATTGTTTCAGAGTTCACAATGCGACAAATTGCAGGAGGTGAGAGCTTGGACAAGATTTTCACCCCAGAGAAGCTCAGCCGTCGAAGTAGTGCTTACAGCATTGGGTTCACACCAACACCAAAAATGATTAGTGAGAGCCCAAGCCAGAGCTTGGAATCAACTGTGGTTTCACTTGAGGCAGCAATTCTGGACTCTCAAGCCAAGTGCTCGGCCCTTGTTGCTGAATTTTGTAGTCCAGAATCTTCTATACAACAACATCTTGTGGATATTAAGCAACTAAGTCAGAAGCTCGAAAATATGCAGAATCTGTTGACAAAATTGCGGACTCAACTTTTATAAGCTTTTATTTTCCCCTCCGCTGGATGTGGCTGGGAATAAAATTTTCCAACTACATACATTTGGCCATTCTTTTGTATATATATAGTATAAATATAAATACATGTTCAGAGGATGGAAGAAACAGACAGAAATAAAGAGAGGTTAATGTAGTCCATTGAAAAGTTTTGCTCTTAAAAACATCGTATATATTATTTAGACCGAGTAGAGGGAAAATGTAATAGGCTTCATCATATTTGTTTGTCTCAGGGACGTTCTGCAGTAATTGTTCTTTCTTTTACTTTACTATTTTGGACTCGTGTGTTTTCATAGAGTTTAAAGAAGTTATTGATTTAATGAGCTAAATTTTTTATTTATATTTTCATTGATACATTGTTTGGGAAATATAGTACTCAAAATCTGTATTCTTTTATAACATAATCATATATGTGCCAACCAGAAATAGAATAGTATACTCTTTTTTCCAGTTGCAGTAAGATACTCAATTCTGAATTGATTGTTTTCCTTGCAGTTGAGTTTCGACTCCAAGGTAAAATGTGCGTAGGTACTTTTTATTTCCCACGGTGCCTATACTTGAGGGCTTAGTACCGGCTTACACTCCAACTCAAACCCCAGCCTCACCTGCTCTATTTTTCCAGTTGGCAAAAGGAACATGAGAAGTATTCCGTATAGAATAAGGTTACAGGAAAAAAAAGATTGTAAGACAATACACCCAATCACCGACTTCTATTGCAGTTTGTCTGATAGACTTCTATTGCACGAGGGAATGGCACATGCTTCCTCATGTTGTATAGTGTTGCGTACATCTTAGCTAGCAAATGCTTCTTGAATGGTATGTATTTATTAGATAATTGGAGTCTGTTATCTGGTCTATTATATAGTCGAGTAATTTAGAATTTTGATGTATTAAAGGCCGAGTAATGTCAAGGGAAGTTTTATTGTTCATGGGGGTAATTGCCCTTGAAGTAGTCTAAATTCTTGTTCATGGAGGATTTTAAAGGCATGCATCAGATTTGCCTACAACTACAAGAAATCCTTGTATGCTCACTCGTTAAGGCAACACTGAAACGATATCACATCACTAACCACTACACAGCTTCAGGTGTTATACCGCACCAACTGAAGTTTGATTGGTATGCATGGCCCGTACCTTGTTGGTTGAAGCGGAGCATTCTTGGATCTGCTGGTTTTCTATTAATGGATCCCCAATACAAATGCAGTGATTCCAGGCACTGGGCTTGGGCTCTCACTTATATTCCTCTGGGCGTAATATTCCTTACAAATACAATCAACCGTTGGGAGGTCATACTCGTACGCTTGTTTGGAGGTTTTGATTTCAAAGAAATCTAAAAATTGTCTAACGTATAAATATAAACAAGTACTTCTTTCACCACTCCAGACTCCTTCAATCATTTGTGATTTTTTTCGTGTATCATCAACCACGAAGACTTCTCGTGAAAGGCTATATACTGCAAGGGAAAACTGTATCCCGTTGTTTCCCAATCCCAGCTTATAAAGCAACATCAGGCAACAAATCAAAATATCTTAATTCCAGATTTAACTAAAACATGTTTTAATACAACTTTGAAGGTCAATTATGTCAATTTCTAGGAATTCAGCCAAAAATCAATTATTGAAATCAGCCCTTTTGAGGGATTTTTTTTTTTTGGTGATTTTCTGTTTTTTAACTGATTCTGATTTTTTGAAGATGACGTGGCACTGAATAATAACTCTAATACAAAAATAATCCATCCTTGAAAATCAGTACCAAACAGACTCAAAGTCGATTTCTCAAAAATCAAATTACATGGCATAAATGATACCAAATTACCAACCAAAATTTTTTTATGATTTTTCAAAAATCACTGATTCCGGATATCACCAATTACATATTTGTATTTGTATTCTTTTCAAATTGAGCCTAGAGAAAAATTGTCACAAAAAATTTCTCAAGAAATTACAGGGATGGACATAGAAAACCTTCATATGCTTCTAATCTCAATAGTTTATCGTATCACAAAGAGATCCAATTCATGAATTGCTATTTCCTTCTCATAATTACGTGAATTGGATTGAAGCGAAGTGGACAAGTATTTATTTAGAACTTAGAAGAGTATTTTAGTAAACTCGCATTTAAAATAAATATACACTTTTTAAGAGAAAATGATCATTAAAATCAATACTGTTCAATGCCAATGGGTGGCCCATCCCGTGATCAGGAAACGGCGAAATCTGACTAATAGATCAAGCTGCAAGCAAAGATAGCCAACAGATCTAACGGTGGTGAATGCTAATCTGCACAAATATCTTGTACCTCTCTTCTATATATTCTCAATGATATTTTTTTTTTCTAGATTATCAATAACCTACATAAAAAATGAAAATCCCACAAACCTTAGCCTTATCAGAAGATTCAGAACAGCAGAACTGCTCTGCTGACGAGTGCATACTACTGAGTCAGTAATGGCTTCTACTCCTACTTCTCTCAAATTCCTACTTCCTCATCTTCATAAAAATCAAGTCCCTAATACCTCCTCAATTGCAGGTCTACGGGAGTTACATATCCATCGTTTCTCCCGCCAAAAACACCTTTCCATCTCCATCAAATGCACTTCGAGTTCGAGTTCGTTGCCTCAGACCGATATCCCGAATCCAAACTCAGATTCCGAGACTGAAAGCGAAGCAAACCGTTTTGCAGTAGAGAAGCGGAGAAAATCTGTGATAATTCGAGACAGGAAGTCTAGAGAGGGTTTGGTTAAGCCGGAGCCGCCGAATTTTGAGATCGGATGGAAAAGAACGAAGGAGATTCAGTTGGAGAAGCCGAAAGGATACGTGATTGCCGATTTCCTGGAGAAGTTGGAGGGTCTGATGGGGAGAGAGTATGGGTCGACGGAGCTTCTGGCGAAGACCGGAGAAATTGTAGCGGAGAGAGCGCGAGAAGAAGCGGAGGTGTTGAGAGAGGAAGGAGAGGTGGAGGACAGAATGATCACGGAATTATTTAGAGTTCTAAGGCTGATGGAGATGGATTTGGCCATGGTCAAGGCAGCGGTCAAGGAAGAAACGCTGAAGGAGAGGCTCGAGCAGGCCAAGGCGCGGTGCAGGCAAGCCATTCTCGTTGCTAATTCATTCTGATTTTGTTTGTTCTTGCTGGTAAAATAAAATCCATTGACGAAGGATTATGTCTGTCTACGTATCTATGGTTCTATTCGTCGGCGACTCGGCGTCCCCTCTCTCTCTGACTCTGTCTGTGTTAGACGGAAGATGTGCATGGGCCATGGTGGCCTTTTGATAGAAAAGGCCGGAATAGGGGTATGAGCTTTGTGAACTGGAAATGGTGAAACTTGAAAGCTTGTTGGGCAGGACATTATTAGATGGCCCTGTATCAATTAGGCTATGTTTGGTTTGAAGGAAAGTGTAGGGAAAGAAAGGGAGTGATAAGAAAATTTATACATTTATAAAAGATTTTCTTACCTTTTTCTTCTTTTCCCTATCTTTTCCTTCAAATCAAACATAACCTTTAAGCTCTATTAAGAGTTGGGATTGGTTAGGGCGTGATCTTGGTCCAACCAAAAATCTTCGGCGGAAGCATGTGCAGATATCTGTGGCCCAGTTCATGCTTAGCAAGTTTTGATTCTCTTGGTCAAGGCTCAAGGGCTGTTCGTTGTGCAGCTGGAATAGGGTTTCATCTGTTGTTCTAGTTTAACCTGTTAATGGATTATAATTGAGCAGAAAAAAAGATAAATCTCTTAAAGTATCCCTACTGTTTTTTTATAATTGAGTAGCTTTCCCTATCCGTAAATGTTTCATCGAAATTCACACACATAACATCACGTAATGAATAATTTTTTTTCAAAATCCAATTTTACCCTTCGTCCTTCTCCCTTCTTCTTCACCATCCATCTCCCCGGCGACAACAATAGTGAACCACTCTGCAATAAGAATCCTGTCTCCGATGACAGGGTTGTTGCTGCCGGTTTCCACCGATTGTCTCTTCGATGCCTAATCCAACGCAGACCTACAGAGAGCAAAGCAGAACCCATGCAGCATATAAACGGGGTTTGCTGACTGACTCGCTCAGTGAGGGGAATCGGCCGGTGAGGCCATGCAGAAGGGCAGATACGGAAACAAGGGTACCCACGTCTTTCCGGGACAAGAAACCATCAAAGCCCTCCAATAACAGGAGAGGTCCGCCGCTACTGCAAATTGCAGCAGCGGCGGTGATGAAACAGGGGCGAGAGGGAGAGAGAGAATGAAAGGGACGGAGAGAGAGAGAATGAACGGCACTTGTTACCGCACTTGCCGCAGTTGCTGGCGTTGTAGGCTACATTGGTGCAGCTCCCATGGCAGCAGAGCTCTGCAAATCCACACTTGTGCCCGCACCGCCCACGGTTGTTCCGGTTTCTAAGAACATTGCGGCAATGCGTCTTGCAGCACTGAAGAAGCCCGGTCCCGTTGTTCACCGATACCCCATTACAGATTGTTCCTAGAGACGTCACAGTGTGCACCCTTCCTGATTCTGGCGAGGAACCGTTTTCCGGCGAGGGCGTTGGTGAAGGGGTTCCCCTATCATGTCTTTTGTAGTGATTTTTGGAGCTTCCTCCCCGATCGCATTTATTCCCTTTATTGGCTCCGGAAACCCCAAAATATGATCAACCCTTGTGGACCCTGCTTCCACCTCTATGACTGTAACTCGTGACATTGAGCAAGCTGAGAATCGTTGGTGGACCCTGCGAATCGATTGCAACTCATGACGTTGAACATGGCTGAGAATCGCTGGTGATGACATTGGTCTTCTCTGTGTCGTAACCCCATATGCGATGATCGTTCATGTGGGGGAAATCGGACAAGAGATTTTCGCCCATTTAAGTAATACCAGGCGGTGGTGTTTTAGGTACAAGACCTTGAATACAAGGCGAAAATCTCTCTAATCCTCTCTAATTGGCAGTGGTGGTGGTGTTTGACCAGTAAGTGGTGGAGAGAGAAGTACGAAATCCACCGCTGCAACTTGTAGCGGCGGTGCCAGAATAAAGTGAGAGAACCCCGACATGGCTTTCTACATTAGCTCGTTCATCTCTGGTTGACCGTGTGTAGGGGAACCGGGGGTTGATCCGAGTCTTTGTTGTCCATTCAGGGTGCGGACACACTTATGCGGATTACAGGTGACAGTGGGAGAAGACGCAGACGAGGGCCAGGAAAGGTTTCACAGCAATGGCAGATTCGGAAGAGTGTGAGAATTAACAGAATGGTAAAAACGTAAAATCATCTTTCTGTTCAGATTTAACGACAATGACAATTGTCAAAAAACTTAAGAATATCCAAAGACAATTGCTAAACAGTAAGAATACCATGTATCATTATGCTAAACTGCAGGAATACCATGTGTCATTATGCTAAACTGTAGGAATACCATGTGTCGTTACACTAAATAGTAGGAATAATTTAAGAGATTTACCAAAAAAAATTTGCTGTAACATCATAAACAATTAGGCTATATTCGATTTGATAGAAAATAAGACACAGAAAATTGTTTACAAAATTTGTGAAATTAATCAAGACTTCCTCTCAACTTTCTGTTTTTCTTATATTCAAACCAAACACAGCATTATGTTATTATAAACCGATGATCATCCCAATTCATCACCCTCTTGGGTTGTTAACTGGAGAACACAATGATTTTTCTGGAGAACTCCAATTATCTCATCATCAGCGTGTAACAATCAAGCAGCATTACACATTTTTCTCCGTTAGACAGGCTGTTATCTTATTATTTTTGTCAAAATAATTAAAATAAAAAAATGAAAAAAGGAAAATCTAAACGTGTTGGGAGTTGGGATTCATTGGACTCTCTCCGGTCTTCTTCCGTTTAGGATTCTCTCTCTGATACCGACCTTCAACAGCTGAACCGAGTTCTCTCATACCACAACTTTTCCCATCTTCTTCCTCATCCACTGTTTGTAATTGAAAAGAAGATTCTGAACCAAAAAGTTGAGAGGCCTACATCATTCCTCTCTAGAGATTCTTTTTCTTTGCTTTATTGAAAGAAAGAGAACTTTTGAAGGTTGGAGTTGGAATTTTGTGGTTGAAGGTTAAAGTTGGAGAGAACTTGGTTACAGCAGCTGAAGGTCAGAGTTGGGAGAACCCTAAATGGCAGAAGGTTGGAGAGAATCCAATAAGTCCCAACATGTTTAGGTTTTTCTTTTTTTTTTGCATTTTTTTTAATTATTTTAACAAAGATAATAAGATAACGAATAATTACTGTTTAATGGAGCAAAAACGTCTGAATGAGAGGCACATTAACCGAGACAAGTGTCACACAGCTATTAGGTGCTCACTCATTTTGCTTACCTAACATGCCTAATAGATCTTAACCCGTTTCATGAATGTACCAAATACATGGAAATTGACCGCCACACTATACAAGAAAAGCTGAGGATTTTGTCAAACCCCTTGGTGTAGCCCAATTTTGCCATCTCACATGCAGTTAGACATTCTCAACATTCATGCTCAAGGGGGAAGGGTAGTTTTAGAACAATTAAAAGTTGATTAATTTTATCAATTGATAATTTGAAAGGTGTCAGGGGATTTTTTTTCTCAGAGGTCAAAGTATAGGGCTTAAAACTCATAAAGCCCATGGGTTATTCAACCCCAAGAGGATCATCCCCCAAATTAAAATTAACTTTCACCAAATTAAATTACCAAAAACATAAAAAATAGATTAATTTTCTGAATAGTTATAGTACTTATAAATATAATTAAAACTCCCCAATAATTTTCCAATTTAGTAATTACCAAAAACCAATGTAAATTACCAATAATTAATTGAAAAAATATTAAACTTTTTACTGTAAATTAATAATTTATAAATAATTACAAAATACCAAAATTACATAACAATAAATTTTCCACTAATTGCTGATAATTTTCAATAAAAATAAGAAAATAACAGTAATTTATAATCGAAAATAAATATTAAAAACAATATACACTATTTTTTTGTAATTTTCAACAGTTAATTTTTAAATAAAAAATAACTGTAAATTACAATAAAAATTAAATGACACTTTTTTTTATAATTTACCCTAATTTCTGATAATTTTCAATAATTATTGAGTAAAAATCAGAAAATAACAGTAAATTACAATAAAAAATTAAACATTAAATAACATTAAAATTTGATATTTTTCAACAATTAATGATTAAAAATCGGAAAATAACAGTAATTACACCAATTTCTGATAATTTTCAATGACTAATGATTAAAAACAAGAAATTAACAGTAAGTATTAAATGAGACTAATTTTCAGAAATAAATGGTTGAAATTATTGAACAATTATTAATATTCCGAAAATTATTAAATATGGTAAAATATAAAAACCTCCCCTGAGGTTTCTAACAATAAAAAATATCTCCCCTCAAGTTTCACTTAAACACAAACCTCCCCCCTGAACTTTTGGAAAACTCAACACAAACCTCCCTTTCATCACTGACCTAGACAAAAAACGTTCCACTGATGCACTATTTTTTCAAAATACTCATTTTACACTTTTATTTTACATAGAATTTGACAAAAATAATCCTAAAAGAAACTGAACTTTCTCCTCTATCAATCTCCCACCCTAAAACTCCATCAACTCAAGAATAGGAGGAAACATTCAGCCACCATAAACTTCATTGTAATAGAAAGTGTGCTCAAGGATGAGAATGGTGGTATTTGGAGTCTAATCTGTCAAGCCAACTGTCCCATTCTACCACATTGGGACATGAGTGACTCCAAGGAAGGAAACACTCTCATCTTCCTTTCCTACATTGACATCGTTCGTGTTAACATTAAGTTTAGGTCTTCGAGAAGAGAAGAGAGAAAACATTAAGTTTCTATTTATCTTTGTAAAATGGTATTGAAAGAGGAGAAGAATGTGATGGGATAATACGTAAATGGTATCGAATGAGAGAGTAATGCGATGAGATATTTTATTATTTAACACACACACACACATATACAGGTTCTAACTGACTTGGATCAAGTGGACAAGTGGGCCTAACAAGTTGGCCATGTGTTTGTTACAACTGCCTTACTATTACGTGCCTTGGCCTAATACCCCCCTTTAAGTTGGACATGGGAAGCAACGCCCAACTTGGATAGTAGCTGCTGAAAATGGATTGCACCTTTTGTAAGTATGTCAGCTGGCTGAATGGTGCTAGAGATGTGTATTGTTTGGATCACCTATTTTTGGATGTATTCACGTACAAAATGACAATCAATGTCTATGTGTTTTGTACGTTCATGAAAAATAGGATTGGTGGCAATGTGGATGGCAGCCTTACTGTCACAATGAAGCTTCATGGGTCTACAATTGGTGATCGTAAGATCAACAAGAATCCTTTTAATCCATAAGAGTTCGGAGGTGGCAATTGCCATAGCACGACACTTGGCCTCTGCAGAAGAACTGAAACAATATGTTGCTTCTTGGTTTTTCATGAAAGAGGTGAATCCCCAAGGAAGGTGATGTAGCCTGTGGTTGATCTTCAAGTAAGGGGGCAGCTGGCCCAATTGGAGTCACAAAAACCTTGGAGTTGTAGATCACTCTTGGCTGGTAAAAATAATCCTTGTGTGGGTGTAGCTTGAAGGTAACGAACTACCCAAAGCGCAATATCAAGATGTTCTTGATGGGGATCTTGCATGAATTGACTAAAGGAGTAGATTGCAAAGCTTAACTCAAGCCTGGTAGTAGTGATGTAGACCAATCGTCCCACCA